GTAACTCTAGTAGAGAAAGTGTAGACTATTTTGAATTTAGAGTGGGTCACAATAATTCATTTTTGCACTTGTATGACCTCTGACAAGTATTTATAGTATTTTTTAATCCAGTGGAAGCATCCATTCTACAGATAGAAGATTAAAAGTATATAATACTCTGAAAGGGAGAGATTACTGGTATATCATACCTCTCTACCACCCAACATACATATGGGTTATACCATTGGAAAAGTAGGATTGTAGAACATTACATGGAGTGGACCATTGTTTCTACTCTTGATGACTGTGACTGGACAATACCAACAAAAATAATTTTGCAGAAAAAAAGTTCAACAAGTAATCTGCATAACTGGTATGCACACAAAAATAAGCTAATAATCCAGTAAATGAAAAATATTCCACCTGGAACTTCAACCCATCCACCCCATCAGAAATAATTTTTCATCCAAAAATGTTAATGTACAATATGACTTTTTGCTCAGCATTCATGCATTTATCACATTCGCATATCAGTGATTTTGTTTAAACAAGGGAATAGGGGTGCAGCGCCCCCCTACCCTGGGGGCAGATCCTCTGGCAACCATAAAATTCTGATAGACCAGGGATTACATGTGGCCACGTCTTCAACTGTGACCTGTCTGATAGTAATTTTGGCCCCGAGGAAGCCATAGAATGCTCCAAAAACTCCACACCCTGGTAGCGAGAACCCTATCTCCCCCACTTGGTGGCGCCGCTGAATTGCAGTGCTCCCTCTTGCAGTTTTTTTCTAGAAAAAACCCTGCATATAATTATCGCATTTGTGTTGTGCTTTCATTGCATTCACTGCACCCATTTATCATGGTAATTTTAGTGCATCATTCAGACTTGTATTTGCCTAGCATGAGTTTACAATGCAACTGTGGTAGTTAAAATGTGTGACTGTAAATACTAGTATGTGACACCAGCGTGATAGAAAGATAAATTCTCAACTCGACTGCAATAAATATATGATGCGAAAGTGATAAATACGTAACACCAATAATATACAATGTATACGCAATCCTCATGTGATAAATGTGTGGTGTATATGCAAAAATAAATACAGGTTGTGGGATAAGCTGTACTGTACAGAAGTCTTTTATATTTGTCCTAAACTGCATATGTATTAAATCTGCTTTATATTTGCAAAATAAACTTTCGTGAATAATTTTACTGGGACCCTAAAGACATGTCATCACAGAAACTTCATGAATTACGTTTCTTGCGAATCACATTAATCTAATCAAAATAATGTTTACAAGCGGAATTAATTAGTTCACAGAATTTAAAATTGATGGACTTCTCCAATGCGAGACACAATCTGACGAAGCTCTGCAATATCTTCTTCATTCAAAACAAATGAAAGGCAAGCATTATCTACTGGCTCGGCAGTATGTCGACCACGTACTGCCACTAGCTCTTCTAACCTGGCAGCCAGCTGGTTACTTGCAGCAACGATTTCATAGTCAGATTCTCTAAGATCTTGAATGGTTTGGTGTGCAAACTGGCATCCACTTCGCACAGTACTGTGCCCAAGGTCAAGCTCGCTGTACTGCGTGTTGAGGGCATGTTCCTTACCCTGTACAGCCTCTGTTAATTTCGCCATGCATACGTTTCTCTGAGTTTCCACGGCTTGCGCTAGGTCGTTAAATGTATCATTGATATCCTGTTTTAGTTCCTCTTTTCTAGCGCGTAGTTTGCGTACTTCTTCGCCAACTGTCTGAACGCTGATCTGCAGAGGTTCGATGTGCGATTTGGCTTCATTCAACAACAGTCCTAGTTTTTGTAGTCTGCTTTCAGCAGCCGAATGGATGTCCATAATAAAATGGCCATCGGAGTGTTCGATTTTGACACATTTTTTGCAAACGATCAGTTGACAAGTTTCACAGTAGAGTTTCAACTCTTTCTCCGCATGGTAAGAACAGTACCGTTTTGTCTTCGATCGAAAATTTAGTCTCAATTTAATTGCAGTACGCTTAAGAAAATTGCTACTAACTTGTTTGTTTATTTTGGGTTGGGACGCATTCTGTCGTCGTTCCCTCTGCGTGACGATCGGAACGGCAGCACTGAGGCTCGACGCCGGTAATACCGCTGACCGGCGAGGCTGTGCTGCGAGAAATTCCTTCAGGTCACGGACATATATGTTGTTGGGGAATCCGTCTACACCTTGCTGTGGAACGGGGACGTCTCTCCGACATACTGGACACTTGAATACCGAATTACCTCGACTGTGCGATCGAAGGCAATTACTGCAAAATGAATGCAAACATGGAAGGAGTTTGGGGGCTTCCTGGTATGGCTCAAGACAAATGGTACAGGTCAAAAATCGTTCGTTGAAATCGTCCTCGTCGACTTCCAGTGGAGGCGCAGATGGGAAAAACGATGCCATGGGTGTGCTTACAGTCTGTTGTTGATAATCGGCATGCTCTTGCCGTTATGAAATGTGATATTTCGCCAAATCGACGAAAAATCACGATATTTACAATACTGCTTGTATGAGTCAAATCCCGGAAGTGAATAATGTTTCGCCTTTCGTAGCGGCATATTCGTTAAAATCGATTTCGATTTATAAAATAGATTAACAACCATCGAGTGAAACTGTGACAATATTCAATACGTTAAATAGAAAGTTCAATTTATGAAACAAATTTAAATATATTTAAGGCCGGAATGAAACGAAAGTTTGTATTGATTCAATCCCAGTGTGTCAGTGAGTGTTAACATATTGACGCCACCACATGACGACGACATATGTATGAAAATCTTTCGTTTTGTATTACTCACAGCCGCGGAGTGTTACATGAGTGAAAGTAATGCTTAGTAACTCAAAGCTGTCACACTTGCTAAATACTAGTAAACTTGTGATTCTCTTAGTATTTGTATTCTATGACAAAACATGCATTTCTATATTGCTTATGTGAGTGGGAGGCAGAATCCAAAGCTGTACGTAGTTTTGCCCACACACAGGGATTTACCATCTTCGCCAGCCAAGGTTCATTAATTCGGCTTTCAACAGTTGTTGCTAACACAATCACGCACGGGTAGGTAGAGACGGCCGT